TTTAAAAAGCAGTCATAAAAGAATATTCTAATAAACACAATCACAGATGATGGTAACAATGGGCGGGCCGCATGTACAGGATAAAAACAATTAAAGGACTGAAATGAGATAAAGTAGGAGTAGAACATTTACGGGAACTCATAAAATACATAAAGTTGTGAGGCATTTTGAAACAATCAGTCTGTAGTCTGTGGACTGCAGGAAAGGCTGGTTCTCCTGTGTTGAGAACCAGGAAAGCAATCTGTAGTCTGCGAACTGCAGGAAAGGCTGGTTCTCCTGTGTTGAGAACCAGGAAAGCAGTCTGTAGTTAGAAAACTACAGGGAAAGGCTGGTTCTACTGTGTTGAGAACCAGGAAGCTTTAGGCTTTTAGCCTGTGAGGTTTAGATAGGTCAAGTTGACTTATTTAGATTAGTAGTTAGCAAAAGAGGGGGAGAGAAACCCAGTAAGAATCTTTACTGCAACAGAAATAACATCGGGAAAGAATAAGCTAGTACCTGAAGTGATCTGTTAAGGAAAGAAACATAGTTTGAAGAAAAATAAGTTTAAAACCTGTTTAGTGGAAGGAACAGGCCTCTCAAGAGTTATTTTATGAAATGTTATAAATGTAACCTCTGAAGAAATGTGCCTCTAGGAGTTAAGAAACATTGAAACTATTAAGCTTCTTCTATACTTCAATAAACTTGCTACAGTTTCTCTTAAAGCCAAGAATCTGTTTCAAATACTTTCATGACAAGCCGCGCTACACATTGAAGAAAGACCAACAAAGTATTACAAGCTATTAGCTGTGTTATCAATTTTGTAAATCCATTACAACTAGTAGGAGACCCTGATAAATCACTGACAACCCTACTACTTCTGGTGTTGTCGTTACAAAGTGATGGCTTCGTTACAAATTGGTGGCCTCTTTACAATCGTATCCATATTTTCTTACCATTTATTCTTGCACATGGTCAACAGTAGCTTAACATGAATTATTTTATTTTTATTTCTGTCACCCTTTTGCATATACATTTTATTGTCTTTATTTCTGCAGAGGAAAAGCATCTGTATTTCACTGGTGAGCCACATTGTTTTAATATAATTCTAACATTTATTTGTCAAAGTTACCCAGATCATTTCCTTTAATCGGCCCCGGAATGAACAGCCACAGATCCTTACCTAATATTATTGTTGCTTGCAATAGCATTGCACTTAACTCCCGGGCCCCCTAGAATTTTTGGGCTTGCACAAATCTTGGTAGGATTCTTTTAATATATGTGTGTTATGGCAACAATTTTTATACGTATATTTTGTTTTGTTAATCTTATGGTTATGTTGTTTTTTTACTTTGTATGTTTTGTGATGTTACCTGGGAACTGTTCGGGGAACTGCTCGGGGAGATGGAACGGTATATAAATAAAGTTGTTTATTATTATTATTATTATTATTATTATTATTATTATTATTATTATTAAGTTTTAGAGATAGCTCCAGTGCCTGACTATAAATAAAGAAATTTCCAAGCTATTAATCAATATAATCATGCATACAGGACAACAACCAATATAAAATATTTAATACATTATTATTTTTACAGTTTTTCAGATAATAAAACAACACTCCGAAGTCACATCTTTCCCAAGGCATTCTTGCAATTCGTATCACTTCGAAATTATTTTTATGAGTAAACATTGTTATTTATTTTATTTTTTTACAATTATCTGGTACTGGAGCGGTAAACCTGGTGCTAATAGTGACATAATGTCAGAATTGCTCTGTTGTCAAAATAATTTATAACATCACAGGAACAGTATTTCAATAGGGAAGAGCAAACAGCAACACTACATCCCTGCATCTGAGGGAGATGTGTTCCAAGACACTCCCCCAACCCCCATGGATACTTGAAACTTTACACAACAACGATCCCTGCATTATGACTATATTTGGGATATAAGCATATTATAAAATGACACTAGAGGGCCTACAGAGGCCCACAAACACTTCTGGAAGGAATATTTGGCATGTGGGTAAGCAGAAATGCAGTTAGCTCATCCATCGGTAAAAATGCAGTATCTTTAAGAACCATCTGAACATAGGTTAACAACTTTAATATTTAAACAACAAAAAATAGAGGTCATTTCCTAAAAGACAAAAATATGATTTAAATAATTGACTAGCCAGGAATGCATCTTCAGTCAACTTGAAGGAAAAAATGCATAAAGGATCTTCAAAGAACAGATGGAAGTCAAACCCATTTTTTATTTACTTATCCTTTTTTTTCTATTTTTAAATATATATATATATATATATATACACACACACACACACACACACACACACACACACTGGAGAGACCCCTCACTTTTTCGGGTATACTGTCGTCTATGTTTGAACTTTTCTTCTTTCTCTCTCTCTCTCTCTTTTTTTGGGTCTAATTATCATTTCCTACTTTTCTATCTTCTTCACAATATTCTCCCACTTTCCATGTAACCATATTATTCATTAATAAAAATTATTTTTAAAAAATATTCGTTAGAATGTATTCATAGCTACTCACTAACCCACAATACAATTGCTAGATATGATTTTGATGCATCCTCCAGTGTCATGGTGGACAGTTGGTGGGGGGGGGGGCAGCAAAGAGTACACTGCAGAAAGAAAACATCTCACAACTTGTTTTGTGCATTTGTATAAAATCACTATCTGTATCTGTTTGCTTCATTCATAAGCCCTGTTTTTTTTTCAAATGTTTCTCCCAAAAACCGGAACCTTTCCAAATGAGCTTTTTCACTCTAGGTCTGAAAAAACAAATATTTTTGTCATATCGGCTGCAATGAGCAGGATTTCCATGCTCCCTTCCCCTCGGTTTTAGGCACTGGCACTTGGCTGCAGGCCCAACACTTGGCTGCAGGCCCTGGCAGGTGCAGGTACTTTGGGCCTGCAAGCCATACACGCACCCTCCTTGGAAAAAGAGTGTGTGTCTGGCTTGCATGCCCAAAATGTCTGTGCCTGCCAGGACCTGCAGCTGAGCACCAAGCGCCTCTTACTCGCCGCTCGGCTGCAGGCTCTGTTATGTGTGGGTGATTTGGGCGTGCAAGCTACACGTGCACTCCCCTTGGAAAGAGAATGTGTATGTGGCCTGCAGACCCAAAGTGTCCACACCTGCCAGGGCCTTGAGCCAAGCGCCAAAAACATCAGTTGACCAAACAGTTACCATTCCCACTTTCCTTTCGTTTCACTGATATTTCCATACCGGGGGGGGGGGGGGGGTACTGTTTTGTGCCATCCGAATGAAACAAATGGTACAAAAAAAAGGTACAAAAATTATACGGCTGAAATGGTAACCAGGTCCATGACTGGTTAGAACACAAAGATATGACACAAACTGAACCTGATGCCTGCCAGTGGGAGAAGGGTACCTTGCTCTTTACTCAAATCAGAAGCATTTTGGATTTTTTCAGATTTTTGAATTCTTGCATTTGCATATGCCTACATAATGACATATAATGGGAGATGGAATGCAAATCTAAATGTGAAATTGATTTATCTTTCATATACATTTTATGCACATAACATTAAGGTAATTTCATATAATATTTTTGATAACTTATGCATGAAGCAAGGGTTGTTCACATTTAACCACCAGAAAAGCTGTTACCACCTTAGCCACCCATATGGACATTTTAGATTTTGAAATTCTGGACCATCTATCCATCATTGACCCATATGTGTAGACCAGATGGTATATATTTGTCTTATTAATATAATACCTGAAACAACAGATTCAAACTACAGGAAAAGAGATTCTGCCTAAAGGTTAGTAAAAACGTCCTGACAGCCAAACCCTTTTGACAATGGAATACGTTTCTTCAGATTGTGCTTGAGTTTCCATTTCTGGTGGTTTTTAAGCAAGAGATTGGAGTGCTTTGACAATGTATTCCTATATGGCAAGGGGTTGGATTAGATGGCCCTTGTGGTCACTTCCCACTCTATGATCCTATGCTTCTAAACTGAATGTTTCTAGCTAATTAGCAATATCACTGGGTATAGCTTACTGTGGGAAGATGAGATAAGATTATTGGAATTAAGTAAAAATAAATCTCAAGATCATTACCAGAAACTACGACAAAGGAGAGTGAAGTATTTTTTTTCTTTTCTCACATTTCACAGAAAAAAAGTCACAGACATCTAGCAAGTGAGAACACGATTCCTTCAATCTGTAATTCAGGTTGGGCAAGACTTTCATGTATGCAGGAACTGCACACTGAGAGCTTGAACTCTCTTGGCAATTTTAGAGACGTGGGCAACTACCTTCACCAAAACTTCTAAATATGGCAAAGAGCAGCAGCAGAAGTATTAACAGCTGCTTAGAATCCAAACCAAAGGAAACTCATGCAAATACATGGAAAGCATTATACTATAGGCTGTACCACTTTCAACCTTAGAATTAGCCCATAATGTAGTTTATCACTGTGAATTTTGTATAAATTAATAAACCTTTGATACTATTTCATCTTAGTAACTTCTAATATAACAGTAAAATGGTATTTTTGTGATTTCCTGAATGGATAAGAGTATGAAAAATAGCATGTTTGCTCAATTAAAGGTGTATAGCCTATATAATCAAATGACTAAGAAAAATCTCTTTTGCTGAGATTAACCACAAGTAAGAATATAGGAGGAAAACAACAAGATCCTACTAAGAAAAGCTCCTCATTTGTAAAAGTACAGATTATAGTCAGGACCACTGAGATTACTGGAGCTTCTTAGCATATATGTTTTAGAATGTACTGTAAATCGTGCTTTAGTATAATTGAAATTAATAGTACAATATAAATGAATTAGTTACATTTATTTACGTAGAACTAGGATGTGGTTAATGTAATCTGGATCCAACACTAGGCCTACTTATTAAAAGAAATATTTTGTCACTAATAACTAACTTCTGTACTGTACAGAGGAAAGTCAGAAACTAGTATTTCTGAGATACAACTGATACAGATATAGAAGAAAGACTTACCCATGAAGTTGAGATAGCCCTCTCCTCCAAGTGCATGAGTAATGAGCCGAATCATTTTATGAATCTGTATGCCACGATCAATAACTGGAGTAAGAGGTGTGAGGACAGACATACAGGTATACATCTCTGCATCCATCAGACGAAATGCCAAAGTCTTATCACCAACAAGGGCCTGTGTTGATAAATATTTTGAAAAAGCCTGAGTTAAAGAACTGTGTGTTTAATTTATATAAACACAGCAACAAACCTAAATGTATTACTTCTGCATTGTTGTGACATTGCCAATTATGCCAATAATCTCAGCAGCAAATATACTGTATTTGTGTACTAATATTTTAAGAACTGGTTGCCATTTCCTACTCCCTAGCAAGCAGGCAGCAGCACAGAGCTTGCTCTGAAGAGGAATGCCAATCTCCTCCTACATGGCAGCTCCAAAGTAAAATTGTATGTAGTTTAGAGCAATATAAGGACTAGGACAATCCACTCTGCTCTCTACATCAATGGATGCCGCCAAAACCTATTCCAAAAATGTACCAGCTGTCAGAAGGAAAACTGAATCTGGTTTGAATACGTAAGATAGGACAAAATATAAAGATATGATTGGATTTCACCATTTGACCTTCTGTTACTGGTAAATAAGTCACAACAAAACTCAGGCTTAAGTTACACTTGCCCAGTAAAATTAATGCTTCAATAAAAGTCCAATTAATTTCAACTGATAATCTTTGTTGGACTATTAATTCTGGATCAAATCCAATGAAATATGTATCAGCTACATTCAAATGATACTGTGTTAATATTTGTATATTTTAAGTTGTACTCAAATGCTTTTAGTTATGAGCTGCTTTGAGTCTCCATATGGAGGGAAAAAGCAGGATATAAATATAAATATAAATGTAACAACAACAACCTTTCCAACTAGATTTCAATTTTCCTTCAAGGTTCACTAAAGTACCTGGTCATGACTCTCTGCATATGCAATATATTTCTCTCCATATCGCCTGTTTGTTAGTGTGAATACTATATTTCCCATATCCCAGTCTTCATCCTTAAGCTCCTTGATTATCTGTAAAATGAAAGAGAATTACTCAGAAGTACATCTGTTTCTCTTAGGCTGCACTATTTTCCCACAAGTTTTTCTCTGCGAGTTGTAAAACAAACATTCATACTCAAAGAGTTTTTCAGAAGACTTTAGATGGTAAAAGTATACCAAATAGGATTCTTCTCTCAGCTTCATAATATGTCACATTTTAAAGTCCATATTTTCTTTTTCTGCCAAAACAGCTGCCAACTGCTGATTAATAACTACGCATGTCAATGTTATTTAAATTGATTTTCTCTATACTTCTGTAAAACACTGAGGCTACTTGCCATCACTTTAATGGTTGGCTAAATGTAGCAATTTCACCACTAAACCTTCCTGTTCCTTGTTATGCAATACTGCATAAGCCTCTGATGATTGTATTGGCTCTAATTGAACTTTAAAAGAAGAGAAGTTATTTCTGCAGTGTTTCACTGGGGATTTTTACTGTCTGGCATACAGCAAAGAAAATGCTTGGAGCAAGTTAAAAATTAATTAAATATCAAAACAGACTAATTTGCTATTAGACCGTGTAAAAATGAAAAGACAGAATTACTTTACTGCCATATTGCATAAGCTATAAGCCAAAATAGGACATGGGCAACAAATTCTGCTGAATGTCAATGCCATGTAAACAACTGAATCTTATTCAGGTCTCATTATCTAGAAATCAAGTAAGAAAAAGAAATAAGATATTATATGTAAAATGCAGGGTGAAACTCATTGTAGCACACATAAGCACATATTGGCTTATCTGACTAATCTAACTGCCAGCAACATTTGTTTAACTCATACCTCATTTGTGGCAGCCTAAAGGGTGATATTAGGTGCTAAAAGGGTACCAAAGAAACACATAACTGAAAAAAGTAGCAATCTTTCTGCATTTGCATGTCCTGATGTGTCTGGGACCTTTATTTTCCTCCTTCAAACCCCACATAAGATGGTTTACATACGACAGTATCAGAAATAACACAGATTTGGAAGAGAAATTACTTATGTATATTGAATTGTTTTTTATTATTTTCATCTTGCTGCTTAATTCTTTGTTGTAAGTTTACTGTTGTTTCTGTGCATTGTCTCGTATTATTTTGATGAGATGGTATTCATTTGAGGTATTGAAAGCCTGCCTTTTGTTTTGTGTCTATAAACCACCCTGAAACTCTTTGGGGAGAAAGGGTGGTCCAGAAATGAAGAAGATGATGATGATGATGATTGAACAGCTGCTGATCCAAAAATGCATGATTCCAAGAACTGCAGATTTTCAACTAGCGTAACATCATTGTGAAAAATATGTAAGATAGTGTTGTTCTACTAATGGTTGCAAAGTACACAAGCTGTTGCATATTTCTCTAATAATTGCACAACAAGTACAAGCAACGCTGGGCAAAGCACTTCTTAGTCATCAAAGAACTTCAAAAAGTCAAGAAGGGAGCATGATAGATGATTTTTTTTTAAAAAAAAATTGTCCTAGAAAGAGCAAAGGTAGTGAATCTACTAGTGCTGTTTTTAAAATATTAAAAGCTAAGTAATGAGAGTACAATTATTTTCATCACTGGTTTATGATGCTTATATTGAGGATGTATTACTCTGTTGATATGATTCTCACTGTGTTTAAAAGTCCTTGGATTTACCTCACATAAAATTATTTTAAATCAGAAACAGAAGTTATAAATTTTTTATCACCTGAGTGAGACATTGGCAAACCTTTCATGAAAATAAGCTTAGGTGTACTTAAGTCGCAAGATTTATAAATGTGCAATTAATGTGTCATGAAATCCTTGTCCTACTTCATGTGCATAACAGATACATTTTTAATCTCCATTTTGTTAGGAGTTAAGCTTGCTGTAAGGATTATCAAAATTCAATCCACAAAACCATGACATAGCAAGCAAAGCTATCAAATATTATAGCAAAATAATTAGTCACATGTTGGATTGAGCTTCAGTAAAATGAAGCTTAGCAACACAAATAGAAGAGCCCCTGACCAGCTCTCTTCCCTGGCGTACACAGAGACCTGGCATGATTGCAAAACTATGGCTGTCCATTAAACCAAGACAAAATATGATAAATCCTGATTATAAACAAATTAATAACATTCTAGATCTTTAAATGAGTAAATGGAAAGAGGGAAGGGAAAGAGAAATGGTCGTGTTCGGACCTGAATCCATTTGTCAGGAATTGCCATGGCCAGCCGATAATCAAATCCACATCCCCCTTCTTTCACTGGGAAGCAAAGAGCTGGAATTCCAGACACATCCTTGAAGAAATAACCAAGATGTTATGAGTAGGAAACTGTCATCAAGAGAAATGAGCTAGCTGTGAAATTACAAGCATAGATATGCCCCTATAAATCACACAAAACTTAAAAATCCCTCAAGTATTAAGAATGCATCCAACTAATACCTCTGTGAGATAGATAGCAGGAAATCAACCTGCACATTTCCTCCTGCATATATCATTAGAGGTGCTTGAAAGAGGAAAAACGGATGCCAAATTTCAATTTTGCAGAACGAAACTATATTGGGTGTGTGTGTTAAAAGAAATATGAAATTTTAATCAAATGACGTGACCCTGCTCTATTTAGATTACTCAGTATTAATTATATGTTGGCATAATAGGAAAAGAATCTGAACACGGGTAACAAAAAGAGATTTGCAATTTCTCCATTACATACAAAAAAGAATAGAAGAACATCGTATCAGTTGGAAAATATTCAGAATATTTCTTTTTTTTAAAAGCACATTCCATTACTTAATTTTATCAGACAGGTCCTTATGGAACCTGGACTACAAATCGATCTTTCTCTAGACAATAGTGTGCTCCCTCATGTGGTGCTACTCATTCCAGTATCATTACATGCAAGCACAAATTCATGCTAGCCATTTGTAATTTAGAATATCAATAGTTCCTCCCAATTTCTTTCCACTATGAGCATGTGGATCAATTCCACATTTTGTATAGAAAATCCCAGTAGACTGAAAAATGATGTATTGAAGTTGAAGTAGTTTTCAATTTAAGTAGAATAAATTGAAGGGACATCTTGTTAAAAAAAACCTCAAATGAGGTAATGCAAACATGCTCAACTTTGTTTCATTGGTAGGAATACTGATATCCATATGGTAGCTCACTGGATGGTGGATTAATTTTACTTGAAATGACCCCCCCCCCCCAAAAATCAATAACACAATTCTGAGTTTAATACATCCCATAATTGCTTCATTTCACCAGTTTCTGTTTTAAATACTTAATGTCACTCAGATCTTGGTAATATGTATTCCCCCTGAAGGAGTGGATCAAGATAGTATTATATACAACAAGGCAAGTTTGAATTCTCCTGTGGTTAATATGATTTTTTAAAACCCAGACTTCTATGGAAGCACAATGTTCTCCCCCCCCCCCCCCCCTAAGTTACAGTCAAATAGTTGATGGTAAATCCCATCTGGAGCTCTTAAGGAATGGCATACTTGGTCTTATGAATACCTGAAATTCCCTCTCCTCACCCCCTCCTTGCCACAGCGTATTCATCTAAGTTGCCTATAAAGCAGTTATGCAATGATAAATAATAAAGGGCAGAATATGTCTCAAGAGTCTAGACATAAATTTTTGCTTGAAATAAGTGCAAATGACTTGTCTGGGCTTTTCACTCAAGGTTAGTGCTTTGAAGTTTAATAATTTTCAATGCCAGAAATATTCTTTTGCACATAAAAAACCTTCTTGTTTACTTTGTTTCATTTATAAATCATGCACATAAAAGTAAACAGAATGTGCATGATATATTTGAAGTAACATGAATATTTAATTTATCATAAATGTATAGAATTTGAAGTTACACATATATTAACACATAGTTATTCTGTTAGAAATATTTTTAATTTTTTTCAACACTTTGAATAGTTAGAAAGCCTGTTTAAACTGTTTAAAAACTTATGTATTGAATGGAATATGATCCTCAAAAAATGTCTATGAATTCATTCTCTTAGTCATTTTGTTCATGACGGACTCTGTCAACTAAACATAACTATTTGCGGTAGCACAATGAGGTAAACCCTTGTGCCAGCTGAACTGCTGGCATGAAGATCAATGATTCAAATCTGAGAGATCAGATGCGCTCTCATCTGTCAACTACAGCTTCCCATGTGGGGACATGAGAAAAGCCTCCTACAAGGATGGTAAAACATCAAACATCTGGGCATCCCCTGGGCAACATCCTTGCAGATGGCCAATTCCCTCACACTAGAAGCGGCATGCAGTTTCTCAAGTAGCTTCTGACACGAAAAAAAAATACCTATTTGCTCTCTACCATGAAATTATGCTAAAAATTTGCAGTCACTTTGAAAAGTGTAATTGAGATGACAGTATGTTAAAATCTACATATATAATGATCTTAAGCGTGTCTACTCAAAAGTAAGTACAGCAGAGTTCTTCCTGGTAAGTTGGTCAGAACTACATCCTAAATGAGATGGAATTTATTTTATAATAAAATAATCAATCCAGCCCAATGTGAATGTATTTAAGTGTAAACAAATTAAATCAGAGAGATTTAAGCACAAATTTTAATTTTTCAAATGAAATAATTGAGATTTAAAATACAACACAGATGATGGGTCACGTTTAAGGACATGTAAGTGGATGTTAATGTAACTGTAACTGATTATTGATTCAGTTATGAACATCTTTAAAAGAAAACCATCAGCTAGATGTAATAATTGAAACAAGTACTCTAAGAATTACCTCTGCCACTGTTATGCATTCTGGATGTAAGAAATGTGTCATGTAGTTTGCCATCATCAGGTATGCCAGAGCATCTTCATCAACATGCATACCAAAGTATTCACTGTAATCTCCACTGAAGCCTTCACCTAACAAGACAAAACAATTACAAAAACAATAAAATATATCTCAGATTTAGAAAATCAAATTTGCAGAATATGGTTCAGAATTTCTACAAAAATATTAATAAAATAATCTCAAGGTACTGCAGCTACATACAGGTATTAACTGTATCATGTCACACACATCTGGATCGAACTTACCAATACCATGATGATGATATAGCATGGAAGATACACCATCAAATCGAAAGCCATCAAATGCATACTCTTCTATCCACCACCTTAGGTTAGAAAGAAGAAATCGCAAGACTTCCCAGCTGAAATATTAAACAACATTGCCTAAATATTAAGAAATCTCAATTTCAAAAAATCCTACATTTTACATGCATAGCAATTTTTTCTTAGAGGAAAATGGACATTGTTTCTAATTTTAATTGTGTGATTTTAATTGAAATTTAATTGTAATTGTAATTTTTAGAATTTGTTTGTTGGGCATCAAATTGCTTTTGGTTGTGAGGCCACCCTAAGTGCCCTTCGGGGTGAGAAGGCTGGGGTACAAGCATGGGAAATAAATAAAATAGATGAATAGTTATATTGATTAATTACATTGATGACATGTTTTTCCTTCTAAGAGATGAAAGCACTATAAGCTATTATTCTTCTATACTGCTTTCAGTTTGCAAAAACACGTGAAAAATCAAGAAAACAACAAAGGACACAATTTTACTACACCATTCTAGATAGACAGACAGACAGACAGATAGATAATGCGACATGAGAATCCATAGATTTTGACAGCCATGGGAGATCTCAAACCAAACCCCAGTGAATACCAAGGGGCCACAGTATAACTTTGAAGCTATTTTTTTTGCATTTGAGACTTTCAAAACAAACTATAAATGATGCTTCTTGCTGTACATTGCTTCTAATTAAAAGTTTCAATCTGGAAAGTTTATTTAAAAAATATTTCAAAATTTGCATCTACATCAACAGTTATCTGAGGTAAAGCAGAAGAAGTGCATCAACTCTGGAACACATATCAGTGGATATGTTCTAGTGAAGTATATCAGTTCAGTTTAGCATGCATTCAACAGATGCCTATACACTTTTTGGTCTTATTTTACATTTTGCTTCAAAGGTTAAGACTCTCAGGAGTGGCGTCTTGGTCCACAAAACCAAATATGCTTTTTGGCACATTTGGCATATATGAAAATAGTACACAAATTGACTTTTTCCAGGCAAGATTCTTTTCAATTCGAGAATATAATTATTTCAATAAGTTTTCATATCTTAAAAAAAAAACTCAGGAAGCCAATTCAACAGTGGGAAATAAGGCTCATGAGCTGTATCTCCAAAAGACGTCTTGCAGTATTAGCGATAAAATAATATGATTTCACATATGATCATTTTAAATCTACTGTATTTCCAAGGATAATGGTGTCATATATAAAACAGTTCTGAATGCAAGTTAAACATATTCCACCTAAACATTAGGAAGAACGTCTTTACTATAAAGGTGGTATAGGAGCCCCCGGTGGCGCAATGGATTAAACCCTTGTGCTGGCAGGACTGCTGACCAATAGGTCAGCAGTTCAAATCCAGGGAGAGCAAGTTGAGCTCCCTCTGTCAGCTCCAGTTCCCTGTGCGAGGACATGAGAGAAGCCTCCCACAAAGATAGTACAACATCAAACATCCAGTGTCCTCTGGGCAAGGTCCTCCTGACACGAAAAAAACCCAAACAAACAGTGGTATAGACTGCTTCAAAGGCTAGCGTATTCTCCATATTTGTACATCCAGAGGTTGGAAGGGTATCTTTCTGAAAGCTTTAGTTGTATATTCTCGCAGGACAGGGGAATGAATGAGATGATCCCTGTGACTCCTTCCATCTTTATAATTTATGTTGTATAAAGCAACATTTCCTGCACATTTAATGGAACAGATCTGTTTATATAAGTGGCTCTCAACCTGTGAGTCCCCAGGTGTTTTGGCCTACAACTCCCAGAAATACCAGCCAGTTTACCAGCTGTTAGGATTTCTCAGAGTTGAAGGCCAAAACATCTGGGGACTCACAGGTCGAGAACCACTGGTTTATATAGTACCTTAAAAAAAAGCAAAAAAAAAAAAAAAAAAAGAAAAGAAAAGAAAAGAAAAGAAAAACCACCAACAAACAAACAAAAAACCCAAAAAACATCCACATGAATTAGGTAGTTCAGATATAACATGGTACCCCTTTCATTCATCTAAAACTAAACACCAGCATTGAAAATAGGTTCTGGAGCTTAAAACTGGCTAAAATCTGCAATTCCTTAGTGTAAATTAAGTGATATAAACTGGAAAAATGCTAATATGAAGACCTTACTGAAAAAAAAAAGTATGACATGGGATGGGAAAGGGGACGCCTGCTCAGCTACAGTACTGCTGTATGTTGTATTTTAGCTGTTACACCATTGCCAAGTGTACTGACAAAGAAAAGAAAGCAAAGCAAAGAACAGAAAATGTCTACTGTGCAGATATGCAGTTTGAATAACTTTGCAATTTAAGATCAAAAGAAATAAAATCTTTATTCACCGGGGGTTTGGAGTCCTCTGAGAGGGAGAGCAGGGAGAAACTGTCAGATGAACAAAGAGGGAAGACCTTTATAACTCATACTACAGTTGTTAGTGCTTGTCTCTGCTTCTAAATCTAAATACACACAAATCCTTTGTGGTTCAAATCACACAAGTACATTAAAATGTAAAAAGGAATGATTGTATAGCAAGGCACAGGTGTGAGAAGAAAAAAATCACATCTTTCTGAACTAGAAGGATAGCACTTCTGAGATTTTTTTTTTAAAAGATAACATATAGGGATTAGGGTTTTAGGGTCTGTTTTAACACAAGCACACACACACACATGCACATACACATGACCACACAACTTCTCCACACATGTCTATTTCGGAACTAAGGGGACAGGATAACCTTCAGAACAAACACTGTTTTTATAATGAGCATTTCACACTTTTCTTTGAAAATCTAAGCCTCCTAAAATCTGCAGCCACAGTTTAGTGAGAAACTAGGAGGCTTATATCTCAGATGAACAATCCAATGCATTACAATTATTTCATTATTAACATACTTAAATTAGAGAAAACCATAATTAATCTTAGAAAGCTCAGATAAGAGCATCATAAGAAATGTTGAGTTAGAGAGGAGGGTGAAGCTCTGGGAATACTAATCTGAGGTCAGTGAACAAATTAACTCCCTGCTTCCCTGCTTTTGCAGAAAGAGAATGGCGGGGGGGGGGGGGGGGCAGAAATCCTAGTTGCCTGAATATTAATTCATGTAATGGGGAAAAAAACCCTTCTTCTGATCACTGGTATTAGCCAATTGAAACAAACAAAAAAATCCCAATATTGGTAATTCACATATTGCCAGCACAATGCAAAGGACTTTACAGAGCGTTCAGAGCTCAGAAAGGAGCTTTTCAAAAATGGTTGGTTTTTTTTATATATATAATTATAGTAGCTTGGGTACCCGTGGTGCCTAGGTTATTTGAAAATTGCATTGTTTATTTTGGGGTATTAGGTAATATCATTTAGTTCATTAGTAACACTATTTATTAGGAAAAAGCCAGTTTTTGATTTTGTTTTTTATTAATGCTCTCATTAAAAAATACAGAACAATGTGGGTGAACTGCAATTCCCAGAATTGTGGGTCAATCCCCCCCAAACCAGGCCTATATGCACAGTTGGCCATGTTGGATGTGTGTGCCAAGTTTGGTCCAGATCTGTCGTCAGCTGGATTCAGTGCTCTCTGGATAAGGGTGGACTACAACTCCCAAAATCAAGGTCATTTCCCCCAAACCCCTGTATCGTATTCAGTTGGTCAAGGGGCTTCTCTGTGCCAAATTTGGTCCCAGTTCATTGTCAAATCCCTCCGGCCTGTTCAGTTGTGTATTGATTCCTCTGTGTTTGCTGTTTGCCATAGGAAAGGGTAGGAAAGGGTTAAGGGAGAGGCAGTGGGTGGGATCATGCAAATTCCACACAATGAATCCTGGGATGCCTGCCTGTGGTGGAGGAAACACATCAAATAGGATAAAACTCTCCCCGAATGAAAGCATTCCTTGGGTGGTGGGTCATAGTGTTTGGGGAGGACATTGGCAGCGTTTGGGCTACATGTTCATGGTGCTCACTATAACCTGCAATGTCAGTTGAAGGAGTGCCTTTGGAGGATTCTCAGCACTTGGAACTATAGCCTGTCTGTGGAGGCAGGGGACTATCTGTGTAAGTGGACACCCACCACATACACATATACACATTTTTTTTAATTATGTGTATAGAAGATTTTAGAATGCTAGTAAATCCTTGATTTCATGTTTTCCAAAAGTAGCTATTTATTGCTAGTTACTTGACAAAATCTGAACGTTCTTCAATCAGCAGCATGAAACACATCATGAAGCAGTGCTTGAACTTTGTGATATTTCTTTTTCAACAAATGCCACAATGATCCCTATTAGTGTAATTTCAAAATTTTGAGTTTTCCTGAAAAACCATTATTTCGCATCACGTTACAGTTCTAATGTGATGAAGTTATATCTTAGTTGTCTTGGCAACCAGTGTGCTGTGAAGCCAAGGGATGTTAAGAGATTTCATAGTGAGGAAAGGAATTAATTACAACTAAATAGTTACTTTACAGTTCTTAGACAAAAACCCGTAATTACATGAGAAGGCATGCAATTAAATGCAATTATATGAGTGTAAACAGGGAAAGAAGGAACAAGGGCAGTGAGGTGGTGCACATAATTTACAATTACTTATCCTATACAGGCAGTTCCTGAGTTACAAACATCCGACATACATACAAATGACTCATTGTTAAGAACAGGAGTGAGGCAACAGGAAGTGAGAGAAATCTCATTGCTGAGAGTTGTCATGGGGAAAGGGTGTCTCCACTGAAGCTTTATCACCAATTTTTGTTTCCACAACAAGCTGAATTTTTCAAATACAATTATCACAAGGATAAAAAGGGATGTGAAATCTTCTGAACAGGGGTCAGACAGCAAACGACAAAGCCTTTACAGAAATCATTAATTTCAAGTTAGATTCCTGATTTATTAAATTCTCTCCTCCCTAAAATTGGAATTCTCCAGATACTAATTTGGATTCCTACACTGTGGTTCAGCCACTCGTCAAATATAAATGAAGGGCTCTGCTTTTCAAGTGAGGTTTTGTTCTTTTGTGGATATTAAAAATGAAATACATTTAGTAGCAGTTAAAAAGATCTATTGACTTGAGAGACAGTCTTCTGAACAGCATGGTGAGGTGGTATATCTTTAT